AAAGTCATCACTTTGTCAACAAGAGTAACAATTGCCGCCATTATTATAAAGCCTTTTATTCTAGCCATCCCTTCCCAAAACCTGAGAGGGGAGGTGGGACCGTTCCTAGTCCTGAAGTATCAAGTTGAGGCCTCTGGAAGCCACGTGATTGGTCTCAGTCCTCCTGAATGATTGTAGCAGATGGGAACCCAAGTCAATGCATTTCCCTTTTGTCCGTTGTTGATCATGGGACCAATGCTGTTAGTTGCTGTTTTCACAGAGACCGGGGGCCAAGGGAGGCTGGGTGGAGGGTGGAGGATGGAGGAGGGAAAAGAAGGTAGGAAATAGTCACCGGGGAGGGTGATTGAGCCAGGGATCTATCATGACATTGCCAGGATGCCGGGACCCACTTGGGGGGCACAAACATGAATTACAGTAATATATGACAGAATGGGTGAGTCCAACCTCACATCCTTCTCTCTCATTTTTGGCTTTCCAGAAGCGCCCCATTGTCTAGGGAGGCAGAAGAGGACACCACCTGGGCAGGGTGCTTCCGTAGCAACCAGACACCCAAAGGTCACCCTGGCCATCTTCAGCGCACCCTCCCAGCACTCCCATGGGCCCTGCCAGCCTGAGCTGCACCCCTTCCCCTCCTCCTGCCCCCTCATCCATCTTGTGTCCTGCCTCAAACCTGAGCCAAATCTATTTTCTAGGGGCCGATTATGTCTCCAGATAAGAAAGAGTTAAAACAGAGCCGTCCAGAGCTGGCACAGTGGCTCACGCCTGTAACCCCAGCACTTTGGGAGGCCAAGGTAGGAGGGCCTCTTGAGTCCAGGAGTTTGAGACAAGCCTGGCCAACACAGCGAGACCCTCATCTCTAAACAAAATAATTTAAAAGTACATTTTAAAAAATTATTTTAAAAAAAGCCATCCGGCCAGGCATAGTGGCTCATGCCTGTAATCCCAGCACTTTGGGAGGCCAAGGCAGGCAGATCACGAGGTCAGGAGATCGAGACCATCCTGGCTAAGACAGTGAAACCCTGTCTCTACTAAAAATACAAAAAATTAGCTGGGTATGGTGGCAGGTGCCTGTAGTCCCAGCTATTTGGGAGGCTG